TTACAATGAAGCATAGTTGGGTGACTATCATTCCCAGTGGGTTATTTTAGCAGATTATCTTACAATGAAGCATAGTTGGGTGACTATCATTCCCAGTGGGTTATTTTAGCAGTTTATCTTACAATGAAGCCATAGTTGGGTGACTATAATTCCCAAGTCGTCTACTATCCTAGTAACGTTCACATTATAAACATGGTTCACAGTTACTAATACTAGTTAACACTAGATATGAACACTCAAAATAAATGTTTTTTTGTAACTGCTAACAATTGTTTCCAGGGTTTCTGTTTATACGAGAACACTTCTTAATATGTTTAATTCATCTTAATCACATCATAATTCTGTCATAAACCAGATATCACTTAGGCTAAAGAAACAGTACTAATTCCTAAGCACAGATAGCCCACTGTGTAGCTCTCTGATTCCTGAGCACAGATAGCCCATTGTATAGCTCTCTGATTCCTGAGCACAGATAGCCCACTGTGTAGTTCTCACTTACAGTAAAAGATTGGTCTTTTTTTTTTTTTTTCTGAGTGATGCGAATTCCAGAGACATCCTAGTGTTGTACCACTTTTGTTTTTCTTTTAGCAACTTTGACCCGATGATGTGTTGTTTTCAAGCATCAACTACAATGAAACGTTTTCGATGTCAGTTCAATCTCTTCCAAGAACCACATATCACTAACGGCCATTGGATATGGTGATAACTTTAAAAGAAATAGGTTTGTTTGTGCTGTGCCATCTGCATGAATCGAACTCTGAATTATAGCAACATTATTCGTATTCTCAGATTGCGTTATGTTCAACGGAAAAGGTGACGCCAGCGGATAGCCGTATTTCTGGAATGTCTTAAATTATTAGTTAAATAAAGCATTTTATGTATTTAATTATTATACTTTTCATAAGACATTAGTATTATATCTATTATATCTTTAAACACTACAGCTTTATCTGGACCCTTAGGGATTTTCATGAATTAGAAGCGTGTATGATAATAGTATTCCAACTATATT